TTTGTGTGTGTGTAGAGTTTATATCAAATAAAAAAAGGTCTTAACGAGTAAAATAAGAATGAATATCAGTCATCCAAAGAGCCAATCTGATGCACAATAAATCTTATTTGATGCACTTTTCAATATTTAAGAAAAATGTCACCGTGTGCAGATGTTGGAAAAGTGCATTAGATAAGATATATTCGAAAAGTGCAATTGATAAGGGTTATTGTGCGACCGTTTGGACTACTGATATTAATTCTTATTTTACATGTTTGGGCTCCTTTTAATTTGATCGGGGTTGGGTTGGGTTCAAGGGCGTACCTAGGAGCATCGATTAGATCGGGTTGGTACAATTTTTTAGATAAACTTTTACATAGATAATACAAACTATTTTAAATTTGGATGGGCCGGTACTTGAATAGACCCCCCCCCCCCCCCCCCTCCCTTAGTTCCTGGTTGGGGTTGAAGGGGCAGGCCTGATCCTGACATTTTATAGGCCCGAAACAATAAAAAAAAGCTCGTAAAATAGTATACTTATATTTTAATTTCAATTAGATGCCTGAATTATTCACTTTTAATTTGTAAATGTGCACGCTCGTCTATACCAATTTCAATATATATTAGACATATCAGAATTATGAAGAATTTTAGTAAAGTTTTAGTATGTTAAACAATCTCAAAGTGTGAAAAACACTACAATTAGGTGAACTTAGGTGATATCAGAATTATGAAGATTTTTTTTTTCTTTGAATATAATTAATTATATACTCCATATACGTGTACATATATAATTAAAAATATTATGTGTTTCGTGTAAAGATGAGCCTTGGATATCATTCAGCTCTCCCCTTGCCCATGTTCTAGAATCGGCTCATGTTCCAGAAGCAGCCCTCCACCCTAGGGTTGTAAATAAACCCAATCGAGTCGAATAATGTGATTTTTTTTTGTATTTGTTTAATTTTTTCAAATACAAATATGAATTTGAATATGAAATGAATATTAGTTTCGTTTTGTATGCAATTGTATTGGAGTGTAAATTCAACACATAAGAATCCAGAAGTATTCAAAGAACCAGAAGTATTTGAACCAGTGAGGTTCGATGGGAGTGGGCCGGCCCCATACACATACAAGCCATTTGGGGGTGGGCCAAGGATGTGTCATGGGATATTGGTGTTTTATGTTTATGCACAACCTTGTGAAGTGCTTTAAGTGGGAACAAATTATTCTACAAGAAAAGATTGTGTTCGACACCGTGCCTAGCTAGGCCTGTTATGGGTCTCCCTGTTTGCCTCTATCCTCACAACCATTAATTCATCTATCCCACCATTTCCATATTATGCATATGTATCACATCACTCGTTTTGGAACGACTCCCAAATTACTTGTTAAAATAATTACATATTTATTACTAAAATAAAGATTACAAAAATGTGACTAGTGACTAGAGTAGTAATGGAAGCATAGGAAGTTAAATATGTTCAATTTTTAAACATTAGTTACCATGACACTACATTGTAGTGACTATTAGTCATATTTGTATAAATTAGTTTATTTTATTAATATTTTAGGGAAAAGCCCCGACTTGTTTAGCTTTGTTATTTCATATATATATATGTGCACCTCTATATTAATACACACACACAAATATTCTTGTCCAAAATTTCCAGACAGGATCGCTGTCCGGCCACCTCGTTTTGAGGTGATTTCCATTGGATTTTTTTGGAAAACATATGTGAGCATGTTTGCAATGAAGTGTAGATTATGTTCACAAAATTTCAGCTAAAAATTTAATTGGAGAGTCATTTAAATAAATTTTTGTATATATAACCGCATTTTATATGTATAAAGAGTTTGCTTGAAATATCCTCTTAAGGTGTATATCAGACAAAAATCTTAAACGGCTATTTAGGAACAAAATATTTACATCTTGTAAATATGTTCCATCATTCACCATGCTGAAACCACTCATACACCTGTAAAACAACAATGGAATCTTATTTGAGAAATTCAATCAAACATCTCTCTTGAAAAGGATACACCCGCAAGGGCCATGTATGATATGCTTCTTAACAAGAGGATACATGGTAGGATCTTCGTCGGGATCAGAGAGCTCAGCAATAATGAGCCGATTATCACATTGCGCGGGAGTAGAAATTTAACAATTCCCTGCAAAGATGAGAAGGAAGTGAGCATGAGAAAGACCTCTCTTTTGAAACTCAATTATATGTGTATTCAACCACCTTTCCAAACAAAGATTTCTTTTTTATGTCCTTTTTGAAGTCTTCTAAACGGGCATGGAATACGCGCACAACAAGTTCTGGCCGATTCTGAACTTCATCCACAAAGGATAGAGGTTCTTGGGTGTCAAATGGGGTTGGACGTGATGGTGATGAACATGTCCGGCTTACCAAAATTATATTTTGGACAACGGCCATCGAATCCTTGTACCATCCATGCATGTCGCGTGGCCCACCTATCACTGGCCCAAGCTAGATCACACGTCGGTCAACATCGCGTGTACTATGCACGCATGATTTAACATCGTCAGCGAAATCCCAGTACGTGTCAGATCAAAATGCACGCTGCTTGTTGCGGTAGTAGTTCAGCTGTTGTGTTTCCATTTTAATATATATATATATATATATATATATATGTATGTATGTATGTATGTATGTATGTATGTATGTATGTATGTATGTATGTATGTATGTATGTATGTATGTATATATATATGTATGTATATATATATATATATGTATATATATGTATATGTATGTATATATATATATGTATATATATATACACACACACACACACACACATATATATATATATATACATATATATATATATATATATATGAATTATGTATTGATGGAACAATTGGCCTTAATGCACGATAAATGATATTATGAGGTGTTACGGTAACACATTTGGAGCTTGTACGCATAATATTGCTTGCATCTTCTTGACCTTACTGCGCAACCTCTCTTCACCTAGAATAAGAGCCTCATCCATCTCAAATCGATTGCAATTTATAGAAAATGGGGATGGAGACTGGGGAATAGTACGCAACAAGATGACAACAGCTTTTGGAACCCCCTTATGTCATCCCACTTCCCCAAGAGGGAACATAAGAGGGTACTGCAACGGACCGTAACAACCATACACATGAATATTTCTGTTTGAAGCCAAGTCCTCATACCTATCCTCAACCCATAAAGCAAAAACATGAGATGATGTAAGCCGGTCATAGACGCACTTATTGAGAGAAGGGGTGCCTTTAAGTATAATGGAAAATTCATCAGTGTGTCCTACGTCAACCGACGTCTTGAAGAATTTTGCATATGGGTTCACTGACAACACCTCCATCAACACTGTCACAACTTCTTTGTCTAGGGGGGTTAGTGGATTCCAATCTATTCCCAAGATTGTGTTCTGTGTCGTAGAAGTATAGTTGCAATTAAATTTCAGGGCATCCATCCATCAGGGAGCAAGTCATTTATGAAATGGTATATATGACCTTGGACCCTGAATATATATCCTTTGTTTGCATTGAAATGATTGCTTTTCGTACTTGTAAATTCCTATCAACATGAATGCAAAGGTTTGATTGTACATCCACACACGCTTGAAAGTGTTTTGATAAGGGGTCACGTGATGTGAACAATTGGCGTAGTGGGGAGAGCATTTCAGTTGAGGTAAGAACAACCTCACATCAGCTACAACAAATGCTTGTTAGTTCATACTGAAGTCATTCAGTGCCGTAGAACAAACAATCAAGTACAGTCCAAAGGCTGTAAGTTTCACAAATCGGCAGAAGGTGAACCGTTGTTTTCTCCGACAAAGGACTGCAGTGTAATTTCTTCTGCTAGTCGCTAATTGACGGCATAAGACGTTATAAAGGTAGAGACAATCAAGGAACAAGGAACAGATGATCGACATGCGGGACAAGAAGGAATGCAAACCGAAAACATATCCAAGAAGTGATCAAACAAGAGGCAACAACACACAAAGCACGCCATAAGGCATAAGGAGGAGCGATGTAGGGGCACACAAGTTAGATGATTAAACTAAACATTTAGGGGCACACATTCAGAGAAGACAAGTTAGATGATTAACACATACACGATGAACGCGTGTGATGTGGGGCAATGATGACACAGAAAAGAAGCATTGTTATGTTAAATGGATTGCATAGAAGGGGACATAAAAAACACAAATGAATAAGAGGCCACCACCAAATCAATTGGAGGGGAATATGATAGTGTAGATTTCTTATTGTGTATGTTTGTACTTTTAACTAGTTTACGCTAAGATGATATGTGCACTTTACAAGTTCATAATATCTCAATAACACAAATTAGAAGCTCGTATATTGGATTTTACTCAGATGATATGTGCACTTTACAAGTTTTGTATCGCACCTTATTATCATTACATCATCTGCATTTTAGTGGTTCATGTGTTGCATTTTATCATTATATCATTATGACATATGCATTTTAGAAGTTTAATTTGTATATTTTGTTTTAGAAAGATGATATGTGCAATTTAGAAGTTCATACTACATCTTATGTTCATGGTATCTACATTAATTCTCAACTGACAACCATACTAAATTTATGCATGACGGGGTCATTTTACAAGTTCGTATATTGTATTGGTATTAAATTACCATATTGGTAACAAAATTGAGTATTAGAATCATGCAATTGAGTATCATTATCTACACGTAATAATTATGCTACAAATCAACTTATTCATTTAATTTTACTATATTATCATTGTGTTATCATCAAACTATTAATTGTGCTAATTTTAAAATTTAATACCAATAATCATCTCTTTTAAACGTTCAACTCATTTTTTTTAACATAAAATACCTGGCTGTAGCATGCACACAGTACAATCGGTCGCGTGTACAATATATTTTGCCAAAAGAATGTAAGAGATTTTCGATTTATTTCCTAAAATGAAATGGAAACCTTTGAATGAGACACCAAACAAGGAATGCTGAAACATTTCAATGAAATGAAGAAAGTAATTATTTTGTAATCATATCTCTCATTATCACTTTTGAACGAGAGATTTCTTAATTACTCCGAACCCAAAAGGAAAACACCGCCACAGAACTGTTGCCGCAAAGCCGCGCGAACAAATCTCTATGTAATAAAAGCATTTTAAAGTCTAATTTGAAGTGTATACATATGTTGACTCGAGCAAAGCACAACATTAAATTCTGTTTTGCTTAGAGTCTTCGTTGCGTTTTTTTTCAATTCAAGCAAATAAATTATCGGGGAAAATAGCTAGCGGTTAATTAATCATCATGTTTATGTGTGTGTTACTTGCCACGATCTTCACAGCTTATATATATATATGATTCAAGAATCATTTTGAGCTTAGAAAGTGCATGCATAACATTAATTAATTGTTGAATATGGAAGTGATGTACTACGTGGCTCTTGTGTGCTTGTTTGTGCTCTTGGTCTCCCTCTCCCTATCCTCTCTGTTCTTTAATAAGAAACACTCGTCGTCCGACGGCGGCCCTCTGCCGCCGGGAAGGAACGGGTGGCCGTTCATCGGTGAGACCCTGGAGTTTCTGTCAACGGGGTGGAAGGGCCACCCCGAGAAGTTCATTTTCGACAGAATGGAGAAGTATTCAACCACGGCCTTCCGAACACACCTTCTTGGCCAGAAGGTCGCCGTCTTGTGCGGAGCCAACGGCAACAAGTTCTTGTTCTCCAACGAGAACAAGCTCGTTCAGGTAACTATATATGTATATATCATCTTAATTGGCAGTACAACTCAAATTTAGAAATAAAATTTAATAATACCAAATATTGGAGTACATGACTGTTTTCACCACAAATTTAATAATTTATCGGATCAAAAGCTTATATCAAAAATATCAAGTGATCACATTTCGAAATAATTTTTATTTAATTGTTTGATATCATTTTTTGACGTCCTAGAACATTAGATTTCTAGTGAGAAAGTGTCTCCATATTATTTTGTTATATACCGAGATAGTTGATTTTATTAAAAGTCATTTTCAAATTAAAGCACATGGTATTATTACTGGAAATTGGTTTACAGGTCATAATTGCTACTCCTTCATCCCAATTCCTAAGATACTTTACGGTTTACGATGTTTGACCGATGATAAAACAAATTGATCCCTGTCAATACTCAAATTAGTTTTAGAAAATAAAATTTACAAATTTAGAAATTACATTAAAATCGCTACAAAACCTGCAAAAAGTAATTCAAATTTCATAAAATTTTGATATATAAAGTAAAAGACGATTAAGAATGATTTATGTTGACCAAGTGAATAGTAAATGTATCTTACAATTTGGGACTGAGAAAGTATTACTTAGAGTTATTCTCCCAATTATATATACAAGAAATAGAAATTGATTGCTTAATATATGACAAAATCATAGACAAAGTTCGAATATGATAAAATATGTTTTATTCCCTAAGCTAATAGAATTTATTTCATCCTATTAAAAGAATATGTTTATTAAAACTTTCAAAAATAGGAGTCAATGGGTCCTATTTTGAGAATAAAGCAATTATAATCCTATTTATTAACATTATCCTTGTTTTAGTCATATTTAGAGAATTTTCTGTTGGAAAAATGTGTTAGAATTGCATTAAATGGTCAACTTGAGGCAATATTTTGAGTGGGGTCCACTTCCTATTTGGGTCGGATTGTCCTTGTTAAGGGCTACAATTCGATATATGGTACACTCAAAACGGATAACGGGTGAATGTGAAATTGATTCTCGAAGTTCACTCGTTGAAATGGAAAAATTGGAAAAACGATGAGTTTCTAGTGTGATTTATCCCACACCGGAAAATCCAAGGGATTTTCACCCTTTTATAAAGGGAACCCTCCTTGAATGAGTTAAGATTCCTAAGGAGAAAGACTCTCTTCGCGCACAAAGGGTATCGATCAAATCTCGAAAATGGAGAAGAAAAATCGCGACTTGCGTGTGACCTGCGGACATGAATGCCGTCCGAAGAGCAGTTCTGGTGGCTTCCGAACCAGAACACATTACACCAGTTCTGGGGGTGTTCTGGTCGCGCACCAGTTCTGGGGATGTCATTTATGTCCAACGTTCAGGTTCATTATAATCAGATACTAGTATATCATTTGAATGCATTTATAATTACTCCGTACTAAAGTTATCAAGTTCACATTTTTGTCCAATAATTATATCGTGGTGATACATTTGGAACAATTTCATGTTTTAGCGGGTGCAATTACTTATGCTAAATTCAGTCGATTTTAGAACGTTCGAGTCCTATTTTATTTTAGGAAAATTCTATGGTGCATCTCTAAATTTCGCATGTACGGTACATTTCTTTACGTAGACAAATAAAATAATGCCACATGGACATTAAAATTCATATATATTTTAATCATTTCCATGTGCTACAATATTATTGATCTGTGTACGGTACAATCAAATTAACGGGTGCACCGTAGAACTCCCCTTTATTTAATTAATTAAATGATTGTTTGAGTGGGCAGGCATGGTGGCCGGAATCGCTAAACAAGATTTTCCCGTCCTCCGTCCAGACCTCTGCTTCTAATGAGGAAGCAATAAAAACGAGAAAGTTGCTGCCGAGTTTCTTCAAACCGGAAGCGCTGCAACGGTACATCGGAATCATGGACGACATCGCCCGCCGCCACTTCGCCGACGGCTGGGAAAACCAAGATCAAGTCCTTGTCTTCCCTCTGGCGAAACGCTTCACCTTCTGGCTAGCCTGCCGGATCTTCATGAGCGTGGAGGACCCGTCCCACGTCGCCCTGTTCGCCGAGCCGTTCAACGTCATCGCGTCCGGCTTCATCTCCGTCCCCGTTGACCTCCCCGGGACTCCGTTCCGGAAGGCGATACAGGCGTCGGAGTTCATAAGAAAGGAGCTGCTGGCCGTCGTAAAACAGAGGAAACGAGACTTGGCGGAGGGGACGGCGACGGCGAACCAAGACATTCTGTCGCACATGCTGCTAACCAGCAACGAGGACGGGAAGTTCATGTCGGAGTTGGACATTGCAAACAAGATTTTGGCTCTTCTCATCGCCGGCCATGACACTACTGCCTCTGCATGCGCCTTCGTCGTCAAATCTTTGGCTGAGCATCCTCACGTATACCAAGCTGTCTATGAAGGTATTTTTCGTTTGAATTTCTTTTTAGTGGTTTTGAATCGGTTATCTAAAACTAATTCTACCCCTTTAGATATGTGAGTGTTTATGAAAAACTAATTCTAAAAGAGAAGGAGAAGCAGAATTAATTTCAAACACCTCTTATTTCAATGTTTTCACATTTGTTGGACAACATTGATAGTTGATACGTAGTACTAAGTATTAAGTACTTTCTCCGTCCCTTAAAACTTTGTTATCTTTCTTTTTTGGAACGTCTCAAAAAACTTTGTCACTTTCCCCTTTAATCAATTATTTTGTGGTTTCTGTTATTTCTATCTCCTCTGCACAAACCTTAACCACACAATTTTTACTTTATTATTCTCCGTGCCGGTCAACTTTGGCAAAGTTTTAAGGGACGGAGGTAGTATATTTTATTTGAGAGAATTCCCCAAATAGGACTACAACAATGTCAACATGCAAAAATATACGGAGTAACTTATTAGACCAAATTCCCCTAGGGGCAGAGCTACTCCAAATTTTAAAAAAGCCATAATTTTCGGTGTAAAAAATTCTATGTAAACGTTTTTCTAAAAATATTTTTTGTACCGGTCCAGTTTTGCCCAATGTCCTAGTTCCGCCCCTAACCGCCGCCTGCTTACCCACCATGTGAGACCACCGCCTCAGCCTCCAGGAGAGACCGAACACCTCTGACAAGGGGGCTTGACACCCTCTGTCGAGAATGGTGTCGGGGTATCATCCGTCGCCGCTGAATTATCCCATGGAGGTGTCGACATCTTCATCATCGCTGCTATCATCTCCTCTGCAGATTGAGTATGTTACAAATTTCTAGCTAGAATATAATGCCATCATGATAAAAAGAATGGGAAAACATGGCATTACTAGATGCAAAACATGTCATTTTCAGATCTAAACATGACACTTTTCATATTTGAAATTATGGCATTTTAAATTCTAAAATCTAAAATAAGAGAAGAAAATGAAAAAGGAGGAATAATATTGTCCATAAAATCAGTCATAAGAATGACATAATTTGTCAAAAATGCCAAAAGCATGACATTTTCAAAGATGTAATAGTGTCATCTTAAAAAAATGCCATAATATGTCATTTTTATACAAGTTAATAAAATACATTTTCCCTAAAGCTCAAATCCTTGAAATTTCAAACAGCAATGGTTGGAGCTTCAAATTTTCATATCCAAGAGTTTCTAATCCAATATTTTTAATATAAGAAATAAAAAATAACAATTTTGTTTAGAATCTAAAAAGTAAACGAATATATTATTCGAAAATTGTAACAAAAGCAAGAGGAGCAGAAAATATAAGAGAGTGAAAGGGAAGAAGGAGAATGAGAAGAAAAGAGAAGGGGATGAGAAGGGGATGAGGAGGAGGAGGAGGAGGAGGAGGAGGAGGAGGAGGAGGAGAAGAAGAAGAAGAAGAAGAAGAAGAAGAAGAAGAAGAAGAAGAAGAAGAAGAAGAAGAAGAAGAAGAAGAAGAAGAAGAAGAAGAAGAAGAAGAAGAAGAAGAAGAGGGGATGAGAAGAAGAAAAGAGAAGGGGATGAGAAGAAGAAGAAGAAGAAGAAAAGAGAAGGGGATGAGAAGAAGAAGAAGAAGGAGGAGGAGGAGGAGGAGGAGGAGGAGGAGGAGGAGGAGGAGGAGGAGGAGGAGAAGATTACCTGTGCAGACAGGCTAGCCGGAGTAGAGATCGAGGTGCGTGGAAGAGGGTATTGGCGAGAGTTGGGTTGGGCGATGATCGAAGCGGCAAAGACAGAAGAGAGAGAGTTGGAGTTTAGAGATGTGTATAGATCCATAGCAGATTTAGGTTTAATTAATATTAGAGGTAAAATGGTAACATGGAGTCCTATTTAAGGAATTTAAAATATTAAGTCCTATTTGTGAATTTTGACCATGTCTTAGTCCTATTTAAGTCGATTATTTATTTCATTTCTTATGCAAAAAATAAAAATAAAAATAAGGGATTTAATCTCATTAATTTCTTGTATTAATGGTACTCCGTTCAAGGCAAGCGTTATCACCCTTCCATGTAAGAATCATATGGGGCAGTGGCGTATCTAGAGATTTTCTCAAGGGGGGCACGGGCCTTGGAGGAACGGATCGGGCTGGGTTTGATACTGGTTGATTCTATCTACTTTGCACAGATTATGCTTTAACCGCAAATAGATTACTAGTTTCTGTTTCCAACTCTGCATATTTATAAAGAGTATATGTCTAGTCTTCAATCCAATAAGACAATTCTAAACAGTAATTTTTATCTTTTGAAATAAAAAACATAATTTTTTATTATATGAATAATGCCTACACCCTTTCCAATTTGGGATTTGACTTCCTGTTATTTTTCATCCTATTATTGGTCACAATTTCGGTTCACTACCATTCAGGTTTACTATTAATTCTTTCTTTCAACACAAATCTTTTTTATAATATGATTTTACAAATCAAAAATTTATTATATTGCATTGCAAAAAATCAAGAGGTCTCGCACTAATTTATCATTAATTGGCACATTTTGTCATGAATCTATACTAAGTCTTTCATGATAAACATGGCTCTGCTTCGATACACAAGGATATGCTAATCAGTAATCAGTGGCAAATCATTCATGAAGCATTTTTGTTGTCGAAATATTTGGAAGTTACACAAAGCCATGAAAATTAATTGTACGAGTCCTTGATAAGTCATTGTTAAAATCATTGATGAACACGTTATAATTTATCAATGTGTTTGATTTCATTATTCAATACTACATTACTTTTGTTAAACATTCGAGTACATATTGAGTTATTTATTTAAGCATGAAGCGGGGGTGCTTTCCCCCCCATCCCCCCAGGTGGTTCTCCACTGCGTAGCAGCGATTATAAGGGATTGTGGTCGATATTGTGAGTGGAAATAAGGAAATTTTAATAAATGATTTAATAAGGGGCATATTCTCCGGTACCCTTACGGTACCGTACCTTGTACATGTGGATCAATTGAATTATTGCGCATGCCAATGAATAATTTGCATGTAAACGAATGATGAAATAATAATTTGGATCAATCATTTGATTGATATGTACGATATCCTCAGTTTTAGGGTACTATAGCACTCACCTTAATTAATAAGGATTCATTCCCCTATTAAATTAGTTATAAGGGCTAGATAAGGGATGACTTGTTATTCTAACATTTTCAATGGCTTAGTGGTGCCAGCATGAAAAAGTGTAGTATAGTGAAATAAAAGTGAAACTTTCACAATTTTTCACATTAAACTTTTTTATTTGAATTGCGCTCTATATATTAATGGCATTTCATTCCGATATATGTTGCACGCATAATGATGGATGGATAAAATTGCGTGCGCAGAGCAAATGGAGATCGTGAAGTCGAAGGGAGAAGGAGAGTTATTGAATTGGGGTGATATTCAAAAGATGAAATACTCGTGGAATGTAGCTTGTGAAGTTTTGCGGCTTGCTCCGCCCATTCAGGGTACTTTTCGAGAGGCCTTAACCGATTTCACCTTCAATGGCTTCCACATTCCTAAAGGATGGAAGGTACGCACGTTGTCTTACAATTACTTATACAATCACAAATATGCATGCGCGGCCTAGCTTTCCCATCGTTTTTGTGACATTTTACAAATATACTCATAGAAAATAATTTCTCTATATTTTTCCTCTCTTTTAACATTCATTAAGTTATCCACATCTATGCACCATCAATAAATCCAAACATTTACTCTCTTTATAAGAATATATATTTCAATAAATTCTCCCTTTCTTAATATATATATATATATATATATATATAAGAATATATGTCGTATGCACTCCTTCGTAATCACAAATTTTCATTGCATCCCCAACACCATAAATAGTATCCATTCTGCAAATCTTTTTCCATATCATGTTCATACGCACGCTAAGACGGGAGGGGTCGGGGGTGAATTAGGTGCACTCTAATTTAGTATGTTTATATTAAAATTTATAACCTAAGTCATAAAAAATATTATTACAACCTCACTTATCCAGAGATAGGTAAAGAGAAGTTCATACACGGATATGTGCCCTAAGTTTCATGACTTTAGTCCTAAACACTTTTAGCATTCAATAATTTTATACGGAGTATGTTTGTTTTAGTGTGTGTGTGTATATCACAAATATTTCTCTCTCTCTCTCTCTATACATATACATATATATATATATATATATATATGGAGTAACTTATATATTTGCATGCATGCATGCAGTTATATTGGAGCATGAGCTCGACACATAGAAATCCAGAAGTATTCAAGGAACCGGAAAAATTTGAACCGTCAAGGTTCGATGGGATTGGGCCGGCTCCATACACGTATGTGCCTTTTGGGGGTGGTCCGAGGATGTGTCCTGGTAGAGAGTTTGGGCGGGTAGTGATATTGGTGTTCATGCATCACCTCGTGAGACGGTTCAAGTGGGAGAAAATGCTTCTGGATGAGAAGATCGTGTTCGACCCAACTCCTGCTCCTGTTATGGGCCTCCCTATTCGCCTCTATCCTCACAACCCCTAATTTTTTCATTATTCATATACGAATTAAAGTAATATATTTCAACTTCTTTTTAGTCACCCAAAATATATAAACTTAATTCCAAGATAGTTAATTATATATGAATCATGTTCGACTATTATTACTAATATTGTTGCATTGGGTTGTTGTTGGTGTTGTTACTACTATTGTTTTTTATTTTGGAATATCCTTCTAAACCTACTATAGTAACCGCTCATGATAATACCAATATCTTTGGGAGATCGGCACTGATGCCATTTATCATATTACAAGGTTGAATAAGTGTCTTCCAATGTTCTTTACCGGGGTTCTGTGAAAAGCGACTTAGCTTATTCACAGTTTGAGCTATGTTGGGTCGGGTGCCGTTCATGACATACACTATTCTGCCTATGTCCTCAGGATAGTCATCTGTTGATACATTTTCACTTCTAATTTTACATAAGTGAACACTCGATTCAAAAAGGCATATGATAGGGTACCTCGAGAAGTTCTTTGGTGGGCCTTAACTAGAAAAGGCATAGCACGTAAGTATGTCAATATCATCATGGATATGTATGATGCTTGTACTACAATTGTCCGCACTAATGTAGGGAGGACCGCAGAATTCCCTATTACTATCGGAGTGCACCAAGGATCTGCCCTGCGTCCTTTCTTATTTGCTATAGTCGTGGATGAACTTAAAAAGCCAATTCAAGAAGATATACCATGGTGCATGATGTTTGCCGACGATATTGTATTAATTGATGAGACACAATCCGGTGTTAAAGCAAAGTTGGAAGTATGGCGACAAACATTGAAGACCAAGAGTTGTAGACTGAGCTGAAGCAAGACTGAGTATATGGAGTGCAAGTTTGGTGGAGGTAGAAGTAGTAGCAACAGTGGGATTACTCTTGATAGTAAGGAGATATCGGTGTGTGATATGTTCTGTTACTTGGGCTTCATAATTCAGAAGGATGGTGAATTTGATGGAGGTCTATGCCATAGAATCAGAGCTGGGTGGATGAAATGAAAGAGTGCTTCAGGATTTCTATGTGATCGAGGTATGCCGACTAGATTAAAAAGTAAATTTTATCGAACATCAATTAGGCTTGCATTAATGTATGGCGTATAGTGTTGGGCGGTGAAGCAATGCCAAAATCAAAAGATGAGTGTGGCAGAGATACGTATGTTGCGTTGGATGTGTGTACATACCTGAAAAGACCGCTTGAGGATTGAGATAATCAGACAAAAGGTGGGAGTAGCACCTATAGAAGATAATATGCAGGAGTCTCGTTTGCGGTGGTTTGGGCATGTGTGTAGAAGACTGAGTGATGCACCTGTTAGATGACTTGAGGAGTGGGGAGAAGAGGCAGAGAGGAGAGGAAGGGGGAGACCCAAACAAACTTGGATTAGAGGAATCAGAATTAATATGCGTCTTCTTAATTGGGTTGGATGAGAGTATGACTTTGAAGAGAGCAGAGTGAAGGGCGCACATCCGTGTGGATGATTGATGTCTTTTCAACCTTTCCTCTCTTTTTTTCTTTTATCGTTTATCTTCTTTATCTTTTTATGTTCTTATGTTATTTTTATCTTCTACGTTTTATGCTCTCTTTTTTATCTTTTATCTTTCTTATATTCTTGTGTTATTGTTATCTTATATTTATTTATCTTTATTTTATTAGTTTTATCTTACTTTCTTTTCTTCCCTTTCTTGTCTGTCTTCTCTATTTGGCATCGATATCATAGATCGATTCATGTTAGCCGACCCCAAATTCTTTTAGGATTAAGACTTGGTTGTTGTTGTTGTTGTTGTTGAACACTCGATTCAAAAGGAGTTATCATGGATTTGATATTATACTTCTCGAACAAATCAAATATTTTCTCAATGTAGTGAGATTGAGACATTACCAACCCTTCAGGTGTTCTTGTGACTTTAATATAATATAAACTAAACTAAACCACAAATATAATAACTTAACATTTAATATGAAATACGTAATACGTATAACACAAAACATTAATTTTCTAGCACAAGAAAACTAAAGACTATCAATAATATCAGGATTAGTGTTTAATGGTTAACAAATAAAATTTCATATTTCAATTTGGTTGCGGTGCTGACAGGCATGGACAAAACCAAAATTGAACTAAATAACTACTATTTGGTTCAGTTTTTTACATTTAGTTTCGTTTTTTTTTGCGTTCAGTTTAGTTATGGCGGTCTTCGGTTTTTCGGACCCAACCCTACTCTGGGAGTTTGGGGTACATGATGATTAAAGCAGCTCGGAGAATTGAAAATAGCATAGGACTTTTGTCCAAACTAATTTAGAGAAGAAATACAGGATCGGGCACGAGGGGTTCAGATAGCTTGAGCAATCTATCCAGGATTATCATGGTGGAAACAAGGTAGCTACTTAGTTGAATGATTAATCTCCCAGGAAGTGGATGATGTTCAAGAAGAACCCGGAAGGTGCAGAGTGATTGAAGTGGCTAGTGACGAAGGCGCCCAAGCAAGGATAAATGGATGCAAATTGGCGAGAATAAAAAAAATGAAGAAGGTGACGCTGATTGGCAAGAACCACCTAACTCAGTGAAGTTGTATCTTTGCGACGAAGGGGCTGGATGGGGGAGCTTCTCTCAGTACCTTTGGCGGGGACATGTCAAACAACAATTTCTAGTCTTCCCGGTGGCTAGAAAAACTGAGTCATTTTATTCTAATCTTCGTTTATCTCAAGACATTTTAATTGTTTTCAATTCTAATTCTAGTAGATGTATTTTTGAGAGCTTAGCGAGTTGGTCCGCTTCTAAGTGATCTTCCAGCTTTATGTCTCACTCCAATGTAGTATCTAGTTCGATGACTTTGTCTCTTGTTATCCTTATTCATACTAATTGAGTTATCTTTTACCAAAAAATAAAAATGAATACGATAGTATTAGATTATCAGTCAAAACGGAAAATTTCAAGTATACCTCTGAAATATATGTGGATGTGCATATATACCCTTAGACTTCTAAAAGGCACAAAAGTACCCCTAATGTTCCTATAAAGGAGAAAATTTACCCATATTGACTTTAAATAAATTTTAAATTATAAATTTAAATTTCAGAATTGAAAAAAAGAGATTTAAAATAAAGATTTATATTTATGTTAAAATATAACTATATAATTTTAAATTGCAAAATTATTATTTTACCCTGTAAATGAAGCACTTCAAATTCATAAATATTAATTTTAGTCTTTGATGGAGTATATGGCCCGTGAACCCCCGGCCCACAGACTCCTACTACTCCAATAAAGGCCCAACAGGCCCAGAAAGCACAACAGGCCCAAATCACAGCGCCCAGAGTACCAAGCAGCCCACAATATGCACCAGGGGTGCATTCGCTCCCCTGGCCGAAGGCTCTAATTCTCACAGGAGGGCCAAGACAGGAAAACAAGGTTACTGGGAAAAACGGCGAAAATCAGTAGCCCTCGGCAACTGGAGCCCTCGGCACTCAGGGGGTCCCCGATACTCAGAGCCCTCGGCTAGTCATCTACTACCGAGGGCGCCTTTTCCGACATAATATCCGCTCCACATGCGTATGGATCACCGTACCCTGTACAACGTCCCATCCAACAGCCGCATTAAATGCGGCCACATGCGGTTGCCAGCGCCAACCAGTTGAGGTGACCTCTCGGCCAATGGACGCTTGACACGTGTCCTTGTCTGGCATTTATTGCTACTATAAATAGCACCCCATTTCCTCATTGTAAACCACGCTGAAAACACTGAACACTTTCTAATATACTTTCTCTCTCTATACTTACTTGCTCTGACTTCTCTCTTGTTATTCTCCGTAATAACCCCTCGGATAAGCTACTCCCCGAGTACACTATCCATCATTTGGTGCTCTCGTTAAGAGGTCGAATAATCAAGTAAGAAACCCTCCCCCTCGACCAAACACAAAAACACCCATCTAAAATGGTGAGAACAACTCGTGCCAACTCCAAGAATGTAGAGGACAGGAACCTGGCCCTCGGCGAGGTCGACGTCCCCGAAGCCTCTAACAGGGCTCCCGGGGGCGGCGTCATCGCCGGGTTGGACCAGACAACTGTCGACCTACGCCAGCAGATTCAGCAAAATGCCCCCGATGCCCGCCTCGGCATCGAGGCCAAGAAGAAGGACCGGAGCGAGAATCAAATTAGCCCTCCGGTCATCACAATTGATGTGCAATCGGCGCTCTCCGCCTTCATCCAGACGCTCACCCAGAACTCGGGTGCCTTCGGCACTTTGGTTCCCCTCCAACCTCAGGTGGGGGAGAATATTATGCCTCCCCCTCATCCACGACCCCTCGGTAACCCGGTCCTCCGGATGGGGAACTCCGAGGGGTCGTGGCCCAAGATACGGCCTACCAGGAAGTCCAGTCCCGGGACCGCCACAACGTGAACAAGAAACAACTCCTCACCTCCTCCCTCGAGAGACTCGGAGGGGCGCAAGACCGCCGAGGGGTCCAAGACCGCCTCGGGGGGAAGGCGTTCCAAAGGCCTCAGGAAAGTGGCGGGTCCGTCTCCAGGGCCAATGAAAGGCGTCCCCCTCAGGACAAAGGCAAGGCATCTCTCCATGCCAACGACGCACGCCACCAAATCAACCAGGCCCACTCGGCTCGGGTCCATTCGCAGGGGGCAGAGGCTCTCCCGAAGGACCCCTGGGACGAAATCATTGCGGCCCTCCAGCACCGGCTTGACGAGATGGAGGCCACCAGAGCCCACGCCACCACTTCCGCCCCTCATACAGACTTCAAGTATGAGGCGATGATGGCCAAGATGGAAGAAATGCAGAAGAAGATAGCCGAGGGCTCCGGGGAACCCACCATACAGCTCCAGACCCGGACGCCATTTACCCCAAGGGTATTGGCGGCTCGGATCCCGGAAAAATACCGAGGGCAGCTCATCAAGCCCTATGACGGAAAGACTGACCCCCAAGAGCACTACAGCAGGTATCAAAACAGCATGATGATGGTGGGGGCATCGGACGAATATTTGTGCCGCTGGTTCCTCTCCACCCTAGAGGGGCCAGCTTACGAATGGTTCAATCGATTGCCCGAGGGCTGCATTGACTCATGGCAAGAACTCGCCCAGCGATTCTTGACGCAATTTGCGGGGAGGCGCCGCACAAGAAAAC